GTGAGGCCTAGCGGAACTTCCTCGGATGAGCCGTCGCACACCCCGTCACTCAGCGCACAGAGGCGTGTTGTATTATCGACTTTGGTAACGTCATAGTACAGAGCGCACTCCTCCTGGGTTATGGCGGGCGCATTCGAGTTCAGATCGTAGCAGTCGTCAACCTTGATGCGACAATCCTCAAGAGGAATTGGCGACGGCGGCGGCGCCGGTGGCGGCGGCGGCGGCGGCGGCGCTGGCGGCGGCGATGGCGGCGGAGGCGCCGGTGGTGGCGGCGTGGGCGGCGGCGGCGTCGCCGCCGGCGAAGGCGGCGATTGAGGTGGCGTGTCGGAACCGGGTGGCCACGCAGGCGGCGGAGGCGCCGGTGGGGACCCGAATGGCGGCGGCGGCAGCCCTGGTGGCCGAGGCGACTGGGGGCTTGGAGGCGAGAGAGGCGGAGGGGAGCTGGGCGGCGGAGGCGATGGCAGCGGCGAAGGGGACGGCGGTGGAGGTGCGGGTGGCGGCGGCGACGGCGGTGGCGGAGGCGAGTCCGGCGGTAGCGGCGGCGGCGGCGGCGACGGCGGCTGCGGGGGTGGCGGAGGGCGGGGCGGCGACGCGGGCGGGCTGGCCACCAGCACGTAAACGTTGCAAGAGATGTCGCGAGTGGGCAACTTGTGGTCGCAGATGGTGCAGGTGGCGCTCTCGCGGCAGAAGCTGAAGTAGAGCTTGTCCGCTCCTGCCTCCCCCGCGCAGGCTTCCCAGGGTGGTCCTGCCTCGTCTTGGAGAGGGACGACCACCCCGGTGCAGCTCGAATTGCTTTCGTGTTCTTCTGCTGCTGGCGGCGGTGGCGGCGATGGAGGCGATGCTGGCACTGGTGACGAAGGCGGCAAGGGACTAGGAGGCGGTGGCGTCGGTGGCGGACGAGGCGGCATCCCGGGGACGGGCGGCGGTGGCAGCGGCGGCGGCGGCGCGGACGGCGGAGCAACGACCCGGTATACGGTCGATGCGTTGCTTCCTTGCCATCTTTTCAAATCATTGAATTCGCACGGGCAGCACGAGCCCTCCGCGTCAGGACCCGCGCCCTCCAACAGGTCGCTGCTAAAGCACTCCTTGCCTGCGTCGTTCGCTTTTGCAGCGCAGGCGGACCTGGTGTAGTTGGTCCAGGGAAGGCACTGACCCTGCGGGCAATAATAGCCAACTTCCCAGTAATCTCCCTGCGCGGCCAGCGCGCGTCGCATCTAGCGGATGCCCGGCCCGTGCGGCCCCTGTGAGCCGTCGGGGCAAGAGTTGCACACAATGGCGTGCCTTCGGCGTGCCGAAAATCGAGTCGCCGAAAAAATGGCACTTTTTCGGTGCTGGTAGCCCCCCCAAAACAGGCGCGCGCAGCGCGCCCAGGGGCGCCGCAGGCGCCCCAAGCGGCGCGGAGCGCCGCCGCAGGCGGCGGACAGCAGGTGCGCGAAATTAAACGCCATTTTCGGCTCCGCGGTTTTGCCACTAACATTGAAATCCGGTACAAAACGACTTAGCCGAAACAACAGACAGACAGACAGAGAGCACACACGTTCGAGACGGGGGTGCGCCGACCACCGTCGCGGACCCAGTAGAGCTAGATGGTCCCACATGATGCGCCCTTAGCCTCTGAGCTCGTCCTAGACGTTTTAGGGAAGCGTGGGCAGACCAGAACGCGGCCACGGCGACGCTCCGAGGCTATCAGCAGCGCTGGCGGCGATCGTGGCGACGGCGCCTCGCCGCTGCAGCGGCACAGAATCGAGGAAGTGGCGTTGGTGGCAGCATCAATGAGATATGAAGGCGGCCGTAATGCTGGTGGCGCCTTCGAGGGCGGCGGGGAGGGCGGTAGCAGCGACGGCGGTCGAGTCATGTGGCAGGGGTGGCAAGATGCAGCAGGGAGGCTTGAGTTAGCGACGCGGGGCGGTGGCGTGCCAGCAGGTAAGCGGCGGCGGCGGAGAGCAGGTGCGCGAAATAAAGGCCAATCTTGAGATATCCATTTTGCACCACCTTTGGATTTCTGGTACAAATTGACTTGTGGATCTTGAAGGCACGCGCAAGAGCGCACCAGGCAAGTTGACTCAACCTCGGATCTCGCTGCCGCTAAGCGTGGCGTCGATTATCAAACGAGCGGTGACAGTAGCGGTGGCAGCGGCGGCAGCGTCGACAGGAGCACCTACTGCAGTGTCAAATGTGAGCTGGGAGGCGGGAGGCAGATGCAATAGGAGCGGGAGAGTGAGATCGTCAGCCAGCAAGGCAGACCTTTACGGCGCGGCTGCGGGCGCGTTTGCAGTGACATGCGATCCATGTGGCAGCAAAGGCACGGCGGGAGTAGCGCGTATGCAGGCTGGTGAGCGAGGGTGGCGCGTCGCGAGTGGCGGTGCAGCCAGTCGGTGGCGGGTGCTGGCGACCGGCAGAGAGATGCAGACGGCGCGAGAGATGACCCTGCGGAGAGGCGAGGTGACGGGCGATCCGCGACGGTGGGAGAGGGCTGAGCATCGCCATGTCTCGCTCCGGCACCATCTTGCCGAAGCGCAGGCCCGGGAAGGCGGTGTTTTTGATGTAGCGGAGCCGCGCCGTGTCGTGCTTGTTGTACCGCCCTTGGCGGCCGGCGTAGCGCTGGTGCACACCGTGCAAGATCGACTGCAGCTCGAGCTGGTGGCTGACGATGTCCTCGCCGCTCTGCAGCGCCGGCGACAGGCACATGGCGCCAGCAGAGGAGATCTGCGAACAGGGCGAGTCGACGCTGGCAGGTCAAGCAGCGTCGACTCGCTACCAGCAACGAATGGGTACCCTCCCCGGCACTTCCCTCCCCGAAAAAATCAAGAGGGGCGTGCTCCAAGTGCTCCAAGTGGCGACGAGACACGGTTCTCGAGGTTCTCGAGGTGGATATCCTTTGGCCGCGTTGGGTAGCGAGGATTGGTGTAACCCGAGCCACGGAGGCGTGTTTTCTGACGGCCGACCGTCAGTGCACGGAGTTGCCCCTTCTCCGACAGTCCCTGCCCCGGCTAGTTCCCCAGGCTCGCCGGGTTTCCCCTACGTCACCCAGGACCTAGCGCGGGTGGGTTGCAGGGGGGCTCGCTGCAGGGAAAGGCTGTGTAAGAAGCCGATCCCCGTAGTCCGCCCCGCTCCTCCCCATCGGGCCGCATGAGGGCCCACACCTCGCAGATTCGTTTTCGCGCCTGGGTCAGGCGCGCGGGGCATCCCCCGGGTCGCTCGACCGTAGCGATCCGAAGAGTGGCCGCTATGCGAAGGAAAGAGTGGGGCCCTCGGGGTACGCCTCGTCCGGACGAGACACGATGCCGCCGCGCTCGCCCGGGGAGGCCCCACCCGGGCTGTCAGCTCCCTCGGAGCCAATGGGGCTAGCCGGCGGAGGTGGGGGGGGCGGGGGGGCCGCCTCCGAAGAAGAGACATCAAAAACGAGTGCAGAGGCAGTGGGGCGACGCCCGAAAAGCGAGCAAGAGACCGAACCAGACTGAAGATTCACCCTGAAGGGTGGGGGACGAGGACGTGCAGTGTACACGTTAAGTAGTCGTGTGTGTACGTGACGGGTGGTGTCGTAGTGTCCGTGTCCACTAGCTCCGAGTAGAGGGGGCGTTCTGCAGTTAAGGGGAAACCCGGTACACGGAGCCCTCTCGGAGACCCGTGTTTACTTTACGGCCCTTTCCCCGCGAACGCGCACCCCCTGGGCTAGGGCTCTCTTGCCCGCAACCCGATGCCAATCATCCGGCCCGCAGGAAGCGCTTCTTAGCTCCCCGGCCCTGGATGTGCGGTTAATGACTGCACTCCAAGTGCTCCAAGTCCGTCTCACAGAACACTGCCCAATCTCCCCAGGAGATGTCTGGTCTATTTATTTATTTATAAGCACACTGGCACAACAAGGGCGCCGACTGGCGCGGACACTGGCACACACACCGGCACACCACCGGAGCCGCCTAAGCGACTCCGAACGGCAATGCACTACGCTGTCTGTGTGAGAGAGAGTGAGACGTGTGTATCGCGCGCCTTGCGGGGGGGGGGCGCGGAAAAGAGGAACCTCTTAGCGCCGTCGCGGTGCTGCAAGCAGCGACACACACACACACACACACACACACACACACACACACACACACACACACACACACACACACACACACACACACACACACACACACACACACACACACACACACACACACACACACACACACACACACACACACACACACACACACACACACACACACACACACACACACACACACACACACACACACACACACACACACACACACACACACACACACACACACACACACACACACACACACACACACACACACACACACACACACACACACACACCTGAAAGGGTGAAGGGGGCTCCCTCCGAGGAGGGGCTGTGTAAAAAAACAAAAAAAGTAGTCCGCCCCACTCCTCCCCCCATCGGGGCGCACGAGGCGGCCACGCCTCGCAGGTTCGTTTCTCGCGCTTGGGTCAGGCGCGCGGGGTATCCCCCGGGTCGCTCGACCAGCGCTCCGAAGAGCGTGGCCGCTATGCGAGGGAGAGAGCGGTAGTGAGGCGGTCCACGAGGCGCGTTTTCTGGCGGCCGACCGTCAGGGCCCATCAGTTTACCTAAAAAAACCCTAGATCCCGGCTGACCTGGGGTGCCGGCCGAAGCTAAGAAACCACGGCGTGGGGTGGGTGGGGTGGGTGGAAAGGCTTAGAACAGCGGCGTGCCGCGATCCTGTTTTCTTAATGTATGCCCGCAACAGACTGTATGTAGCTTGGGTTTCCCGTATTTTCCCCTCCTCGAGGTTCTCGAGGTTCTCGAGGTTGATATCCTTTGGCGGCGTTGGGTAGCGAGGATTGGTGTGACGCGATCCACGCAGGCGTGGTTTCTGACGGCCGACCGTCAGTGCACGGAGTTGCCCCTTCTCCGACTGCCCCTTCGTTATCGAGGTGGATATCCTCTGGCCCGTTGTACCTGTCGCACTCCCATTTTTATTCAGCCAAAATAAAGAAATCGGTCTCCGAGGTTAGGTTGGGTAGGCCACCTCCGCGTGAGTCAGGTTCGCGTACACGGCCTTGGCCGCCGCCGTCCGCACCATCAGGCGCTGCAGCGTCACCGTCCCAAGGCGTATCATCTCATCCGAGTCGGGCGTGACGCACGTTCCGTACTGCACGTTCGAGAAATACTGCCCCTTCGCCCGCTGATAGATGAGCTCGAAGTAGAACCACGCGAGGCCGCCGCCGTGCGGCAGCTCCAACCCTTCCTCGAGCTTGCCGACCAGCAGGTCCTGCCAGACGAGCGGCGCGCAGTGGGCCCACGCGCCGTTCTGATCGACCGAGTCGTGGCCCACGTTGACCACCATCCCGGGCCGACACCCGGTCTGCCGCGCCAGGGTGACGTACGCGTTGAGCACGAACGCCTCGTTCACCTCGACCCACTCGCTGAGCAGGGCGTCCTGCAAGATGTACTGGCCGGTCTGGCCCAAGTGCTGTCGCGTCAAGCTCGGCGCAGTCGCCGCCCTCATGGCCAGCTGCACGGCCTGGCTCGCCGCGTCGCCAGCCGCCGCCGCGGTGGTCGCGTTCGCGCCCACCGCCACCTGCAACGCGCTGGCCGCCGCCTGCGCGACGCCGGCGAGCTGCTCGACCCCGCCGCTCCCTCTCCCTCCTCCCACGAGGCTCGAGAAATGGTGCGTCGCGGATGGGTCGCCAGTACGCCATCGCCTCCTGTCCCGCCGGGAAGCCCTTTTCGCCGAAGAGGATCGGCCACACGTGGCTCCGCATGATGTTGAACTGCACCCCCACCGTCTTCGCCCCCCGCCCGACGAGCTCACACCCCTGCCGCCGCGACGAGTGCGACTGTCGGATGCGGCTCGTCAGCAAGTACTGCAGAAACACGAGGGTGAGCTGCTGGCACGGATACCCGTCCCGCATCCCGTTCGCAAAGTTGGAGCGCATGTCCGCATCGCCGCCGTCTTCGTCAAGCCGCTCCATCTCCGTCTGGAAGTCGTCGTGGAAGATCAACTCCACGAGGGCGCTCCGCCTCCGCTTCGCCAGGCGCGCCGTGGTGTCCGTCGCCGCGAGCGGCGCCAGCAGCGCCGCCTGCTCCGCCGTCCGCTCCTCTGCCGCCGCCCGCTCCGCCTCTCTGGGCGCCTCCGCACGTTCCTGGTGCTGCACGGCGCGCAGCTCGCCCGCCGCGCGCCTCTCCCTCTTGGTGATCGGGGACGGCCGTGCGCGAACGGGTCGTCCGCGTCGCCCGCCGCCGCCCGCCTCTCGTGCGGCACGGTGTGCAGCGCCTCCGCCGGCCACGCGAGCCGGATTGCCGCGCCGCGGCCCTCGCCCAGCCGCTGGAATGCTCCGCCGCCTTCGTTCGCCTTGTCAGCCGCTCGGGCCGCCGCCGTCAGCGCCGCGCCCTTGCCGACGAACAGGAGCGGATTCGGCATCGCAAGCCGAAGCGAAGGCGACGTCGTCGGCCAACACTTTGCCTGACGCGCAATCGCCTCCCTTGGCTGACACGCTCGGCGTGTGCCACCTTCCGCCGGCGCTCGCCTTTCGCCTGACGCACAATCGCGCCACTACCAACATACATAGGTAGAAAGGTGAAGAACAGCCAGGCTCGGACTGGACACCAACGCGGTATGGGTGGACGCTGGACAGATGATGACGACACGCACGAGCGACACACAGACACAAACAGGCTCACAAGACACACAGCCAGCTGGCTGCCACACACCCTGAGTCGGCGTACACATAACTCAGGGCCACATCCTCCCTGTCGCCCCCCCCAGCACTCCACGGTGCCAAGGGCACAAACAAGGGCACAACTCAAACAACAGACGACAGGAAGTGACATGTGAGGCTAGAGCAGCTTGCTCCACCTCTAGCAATCTCACCGGCCTGCGAGGCACGGACGAGACCGTATGTGGGGTCTAGTGAGGTGTCTATGGACGCTCTCCTCATGGGCTAGCTGCCTGCGAGGTTGGGTAGGAAGGTGAAGAACTCCAAAACCCGGCGCAGAACACCCCGCCCACAATCCGACTTCCCAAACACGTGGCCCGCCGGCTCTTGATGAGGCCGCACCCCATCCCGGGCCACAGCATAGGCAGCACACCCAGGCCGGCGAGACATTCTTGACGCCCCGCGCGTGTGCGCGTGTTTGCGCCGTGGCGCCACGCGCCGAGGATGACGGCCGGGTGGCGTGTGGCCCCCTCGCTGTTGATAGCCTCTCTTCTCGCCGCGCCGCTCTTGATAGCGTATCGCCGCTCCCCATCACGGATCTACCGAGCGTTCCGGCAGCAGTTTTACGCGAGCCTGCTCGCCATCGGCCTCGGAAGCATCACCGCGGGCGCCTACTTTGACGCCATCGTTTTCGATGGGTGCCGGCTGCCGCCCCACTTTGCGTGCCTGGCGATTGCCGTGCTCGGTGCGCCACCGCGCTCAGAGACGCAGCGCCACCTGGCTCAGAGCGCGCGTGGCACACGCATGCATTGGCAGGGTGCGAGCGATTGACAGATCCTCTTCGCCACCTCAGGCTCTCTCATCGGCTTTGCCTCCTCGCTTGTGCTGCTGCAGCTCCCCTTGGGGTGCGCGGGACACATGCTGCCGTCCCTTGCCCACGGACGTTCACGTTTGCTCCCCGTACCTCGCAGGTCATCTGGACTCCGTCAGAGCCTGCCCTCTGCGCAGCGGCAGCGGTGCTTGCTCTTCCTCTCGCTAGCATACGTTTCGGTGGCGTTCCTGATGGTCGCGCTCCCCTTCCTTTGGATGTGGAGCGGAGACAACTCCGCCCGCTGGGACAGCGCCGGCAGCGTCGGCGCTCCGCCTCCTCTCCTCGCTCGGTCGCGCGCCGGGCCGCACATCGTGAGCGTGATGCGCTTTAGGTGCATACATGTCCTTCGCCTCCTTCCTCTTGGCGGCCGCGTTGAGCTCGAGGCTGATCAGATCGTGCCACTGGGTTGACCCACAGGAGGCAGCGGTCACGCAGCCTTCGCGGCGCCTCCCCCCCATCCTGCCGGTCGTGGTGCTGCCAGATGAGGCGACACTTCCTAGAACCGTGCACCTGCCTTGCTGGGGCACGTGGCCAGACAAAACTCTCTCGTCTCTGTGCCTCTGAGCCCGTCTGACTGCCCTCCCCCCCCCCCCCCACCCCCTCGTCGCCTGCCCCGACCAGTCGGTTGCCATCGCGATGCCGGACGACGACGAGAGGGAGAGGCGCGACGGCGAGTCGGGCTCCAAGGCAACGAGGCGACCGCCCTTGCCGCACGCACTGCTCCGTCTGTGGGGCGGCGGCCTGGTGAGGTGCGTAGGGATCCCCTCAAACTCCCCTCAGCACCTCACCACCCGCCGGTGCCCCCGCCGGTCCTCGCCTAGCTTGCTTCTCCTACCACCACTCCCGCCCATCCCCTGCCGCCCGCGCACGAAGCTCGTGGGCGCCCGACGCCGCGCCTCTTCTTGCCCCCGACAGGGCCGCTGGTCGCACGCCGGCACCCGCGGCGGCGAGGGCTGGCTCCCGCCGCCACCGCCACCACCGACCCCCGCCACGCCGCCCGCCCGCCACAGAGCTGGCCCCCGTGGCGTCTCCGCGGGGGCTGTTGGCGCGAGCATTGGCGGCGCCGTCAATTTTGCGTAGCTCGCCCGCCCCGTCGCGCATCACCCTGCGACGGTCGTGACACATATTTTGTGCGACTCCTCTTTGATGCCCGGGCTTAAATCAGAGAACAAAGGTGAGTACATTTGTAGATTGTACGCACATGCACCAGAAGTACAATTTGCATCCGAGGTACAATTGACCCAGTCTCAGGTCCTCTACAGAGGTCTACACACTTCACCACAGGTCACAGCTCGCAACGCTTCTAGCGGAGCTCGCCAGCGCTAGCGGAGCTCGCCAGCGCTAGCGGAGCTCACCACCCGCGTCGCCCTGCGGCGGGAAGAGCGGCCTGTCGCTGAGCAGCTCGTCCACGTCGGCCGCGTGCACCTCCACCAGCAGCTTTCGGAGGCTCTCCACGCACTCGCGCGCGAGGGTGGCGCCCTTCTCGGCGGAGGAGAGAGTCGCGGCGGCGCCCACCACCCCGTGCGCGTTCAGGTCTTGCGAGAGCCATCCAGTCTTTGTCGCGAACCCGGGCGCGTGGAGCTGGAGCGCGGCGTCCTTTGGCTGCTCGGCCGCCCTCGACGCAAAGTCCTTTGCTGCGGAAGTGCTGACGAGCTGCGGACGCAGGTGCAGCATGAGAGACGTCTCCAGAGCGCCACCGTGCAGCCCGTACCGCATCTCGTCCTCGGGGAAGAGATTTGCGCAGGCAGAGCCGGGCGCCATGCTCGCACCGAGGTTCATGGCGAGGACGGTCAGCATGCCGTGCCGCTTCCGCAGCCGCCTTGCGACAACCTCCGCAAGCGCGTGGTTGCCGCCATGCGAGTTGTACAGCACGAGCTTGCGGATGCCCACCCGTGCGACGCACGCGCCCAGCTCACACCACGCCGCCGCCGCCGTCTCCGCCGAGAGCTCGAGTGTGCCGGCGAAGCCTGAGATGTGGGGAGATGTGGGGAGATGAGGGGAGACACAAACGGGGAGATATGGCCTCGAGTGTGCGGGCGAAGCCTGCGTGCTCGCAGCTGACGCCCACGTCGAGAGGTGGCATCGCCAGCACGAGAGCCTCCTCGGGGAGGGCCGCCAGCGCGCGGTGGAGCAGGTCGGCGTTGTGCATCGCGTCAACGCCGAGGGGCAGGTGCGGGCCGTGAGCCTCGACGGCACCAAGTGGGAGCACCGCCACCGCCTGCGAGAGGTCACGGCGAGATTGCGATCTCCGCCGAGATTGCGATCTCCATCTATCTCACCGCCTGCGAGAGGTCACGGTGAGATTGCGAGCCGAGATTGCGATCTCCATCTATCTCACCGCCTGCGAGAGGTCAGCCTCCGCAAAGTCCGCTGTGCTCCACTCCCCCCACAGGCGCGAGCGGGGCCGACGGCGCCCCGAGCCGGGGCTGCTGGCGTGCGTGCCGAAAGAATCGGCGGCGGTGGAGGACGCGTCGGCGGCGGTGGCGGAGGTGGCGACGTTCGGACCACCTCCCACGGCCGAAGTGTCAGCGATGCGGTACGAGGCAGCGAAGGCGCCTCGGGGGTCGGAGGTGTCGGCGGTGGCGCTCTGCTCTTCCCAGGCTCGCATTTTACCGGGGTTGAGTAGCCCGTGCGGGTCGACGCGCCGCTTGAAGCCGAGTTGCGCCCAGTCCGTCACCTTGGGAGAGGTGGGGAGAGGTGGGGAGAGGTGGGAAGATGTGGGAAGACGTGGGGAGATGTGGGGGGAGATTTGGGGAGATGTGGGGAGCTGCGCCACATCCGTCACCTTCATCCCGCCGTCCTCGAGCACGTGCGTGTGCGGGTCGAAGACGGGGATGCCGTTGGCCTCGTGCCACGAGAGAATCTCGCGCAGCCGCTGGTTGGCGGCCTCCCCAGTCTCGCCCTTTGGCCAGAGCAGCGCGAGCGAGGCGAAGCCCGCGCGGCCTCCGAAGTTGACCACCTCGAGGTGCGGACTTACTTATTTCGAAGAGCCAACTAATGTATGACTAATTCAGGAGTTGGCCACCTCGAGGTGCTGACCGACTAACTACGAGTTAAGGATGAATGCATAAGTAGTTCGGGAGTTGGCCACCTCGAGGTGCTGCAGCAGCTCGGACGGGCCGAACTCTCCCGACACGCGGCGGAGCAGCCCGAGCGCCGACGACGGCTCGAGCACGCACTGCAGGTAGGTGACCGACTTGTCGGCCCGCAGCGCGTGCAGCGTCGTGTGGTTCCAGCCAAACTCGTACATCGGCCGCGGTGCCTCCGTCGCTTTGACCACGCGCGTCGTCAGCCCTCCGTGCTCCGCGCAGAGCCGCTCGACTGGGCCCACCTATGAAAAAAGAAATACCGCGTCCCGCCTATGAAAAAAGAAATACCGCGCAGAGCCGCTCGACTGGGCCCACCCCTGGAGGTGAGCACTGCACCATAGCCACGTGGCGCGCGTCGCCGCCGGCCGCCATCGCACCGTCGCGTCCGTGAGCGCTGTCCCACTGCGGCGCGTCCGCACCCGTCGCGTGCATCAGCGCGTCGGCCTCCAAGTACTTGTGCGCGATCGGGGCCTGGAAGACGCTGATCCCGCGCTTCACGACCGCGGGCGCGTTGGCCACATCGAGCGCGAATGCCGCGGCGGCGTCGAGGGACGGGAAGGCGGCCGTGACGTCGCTCCACGCCTGGGTTCAGGCAGGGCAAAGTCTTCTTCTCCACACGGGCGAGGGTGGTGGGGCAAGGGCCGGGCAGCCCTCTCGACTTCGCGTCTGCCGGACAGGAGCCGCACGGCATTCAAAGTGCACGGCCCGGTGCGCGTGGGTGAGCGGTGCGCGTGGGTGAGCGGGGTGTGTGAGTGTGTGAGTGAGTGAGTGAGTGTGGTGTGTGTGGTGTGTGTGGTGTGTGTGGTGTGAGTGGCGTGTGTGGTGTGTGTGGTGTGTGTGCGTGTGCGTGCTCCGCGCCTGCGCGCGCGCGAGCGGCAGCTCCACCGACGTGATCACGCCGTTGGTGCCGTAGGCGTGGACGACGGGGAAGACGTCGCGTCCGCTCAGCTCCAGCACGCGCGGCGTCTGGTCCTCCGCCGTGACGACGCGCAGGCCAAGCACCGCGCCGTCCTGCTGCTTCAATTGGTTCATGACGACGCATCACTCATGGGGCGGACTGAGCCGAGCGGCGCGCCGGCCTCGGACAAGCCGCCGTGCAGCAGTGCCCCGTGGCCCGTCGATCCGCCCGCCACGAAGCCGCCAACCTAGGGTTAGGGTGTGGGTCAGGGTTAGGGTTAGGGTCAGGGGTAGGGGTAGGGAGGGGGAGGGGTAGGGTTGGGGGTAGGGTTAAGGTTAGGGTCAGGGTCAGGGTTAGGTAGGCGTAGGGCTGGGAGTCACGGCCTCGTGGCGAAGTCCCCTCTCACTTCCTAGTTGGCGGAGTGTCTAGTCTGTGTGTCTGTGTGCCTCTGTATCCGCCGGTGCCCAATCGCCGGCCAAGGCTGCTCTTCCCCTCTCCATCTACCTCTCCGACCGAGGCGGTGAGATTGCGATCTCCGCCGAGATTGCGATCTCCATCTATCTCCCCGACCGAGGCGGTGCGACGCGTGCTCGGGTGCTGCCGCAGCTCCCAGCCGTGCTGGCGCGCGTGGTCCTCGAGGTCGCAAAGCTTGACGCCTATGAAAAAAGAAACACAGCTTGCAAAAAGGAAATACAGGGCGTGGGCTCGAGGTCGCAAAGCTTGACGCCCGCGCCGCACCGAATCGTGCCCGCCTAGCTCTCGGGAGATATGGGGAGATATGGGGAGATTGTGCCCGTCTAGCTCTCGGCTGATCTCGGCTCACCCCGCCGGAGGGAGGGAGGGAGGGAGGGAGGGAGGGAGGGAGGGAGGGAGGGAGGGAGGGAGGGAGGGAGGGAGACGGGGGGAGGAAGAGAGAGAGAGAGAGAAGGCAGGGAGAGGGGGGAGGGAGAAGACAGGGAGAGAGAGAGAGAGAGAGGCGCGCCTCGGCGTCGATGCTCTCGATCTTGTCGAGCCCCGACATGTCCAGCACGACGCCGCCACGCAGCGGGACGGCCTGAAAAAAAGAAACGCGCTGAAAAAAAAACATCCCCGCAGGGCTGCCCTGGGCCCGAAGTGAGTGGCGGCGGGCGCCACGTAAACACTCTGTGAGGCGCGGTGGGCGCGGTGGGTGCGGGCGGATGCGAGTGTCGCGGGGTGTGCGCGAGTCTACGGCGGAGGAGGAGGGCGGCGGGGCGGCCTGCCCGTAGTTTCCGGTGCCCGCGCCGCGCGTCGTGACGAAGACGCGGTGCCTGACTGCCGCGGCGAGCGACGCGACGACGTCAGCCTCGCTCGTCGCGAGCACGAGCGCGTCGGCGACGCGGCCGGTGAGTTGCGGCTTGAGGAGGGGAGAGTACCTTTCATTCATCAGCAGTCAGTAGTGAGCGGCGGCCGGTGAGAGTGCCGCTTGAGCAGCGGAGCGTACCAGAAGAAGTCGCGCGAACGGCGGGCAATCTCGCGCGCCTCGTTTGGCCCGTCGCCGCCCGCCAGCACCTTGACGCCCGAGCCTAGCACACGTGCGCATGCAGTCTGGAGAAACAGCGCTGGATGTTTACTGGGTAGACACTCTCCAAGGACTCGTCCTCTGGTGTTGTGAGTTGTGAGTACGCCAACTTCAGGGCGGGAAGGCGGTGTTGTGCCAGAGTATTCAGAGCGCCGCGTGAATACGCAGGCAGGCCGAGTACAGTGAATCCAGCGGAATACGGTCGAATACAGCGGAAGACGTGTCCTCTCGAGCGCTGGTTGGGATGCAGGAATCGATCTTCCGCTTCTAGGCGCGAGATAAGGGGAGATATGGGGAGATATGGGGAGATCTTCCGCTTCTAGGCGCCACGAGCCGCGCAGGTCTTCGACGTACGCCGCCACCGCCGCCGCCGACGCGCGCTCACCGTGCAGGGCTCGCGACTGGGCGCCGCGAGGGGCGGGCCGGGTGTGCAGGCTGCGCCGTCCGTGCGCCGCGGAACGGACGGCGGAGGCGGCGGCTGGGGTGGCGGAGATGCTGCGGCGGCTGCTACGGACGTGGCGGCTGCTAGCGCTATCGCCGCTGCCGCCTCTGCCGCCGTCGCTGGAGGCGGCGGAAGCGGCGGAGGCGGCGGAGGAGGCGGCGGAGGCGGCGGAGGAAGCGGCAGAGGCGACAGCAGAAGCGGCGGCGGAGGAGGAGACGGCTGCGAGAGCCTCGATCTCGACGACAAACTCGGGGCGGGCAAAGCCAGAGACGACCATCAGCGTGGAGGCGGTCTTCGGAAGCCCGCGCAGCGCCTCGTCGCGCGCCTGCGGGTGCTTTGCAGCGGCTTGTGGACGAGATGCTACATCTCTCTAGGGACGGCCCCTCTGCGAGGACTGGCCGCACCCGCATGTAGCCTGGCAGGTGCTCCCTCCCGCTCACATACGCATTCAGCCGCACGACGTGCTGCAGGCCTGCGCCCGAGGCGGCGAGGATGGCGCCGATGTTCTGAAAGGCAATTGCCGCCTGCGCCTCGGCGCTCGCCGGTACGGAGCCGTCGGGCGCGATGCCGAGCTGCCCAGACGTGCAGAGAAAAACAGAGGCCGGCGGCACCGACGTGGCGTGAGCGTAGTTCGCGAATGGAGGGTGCACGGCCGCAGGATCAGTCTCCACCGGCGAATGGACGACAGCCCTCATGGAGAGGGCACGGCTGCGCTGACTCGTCGCCCGCGCATATAAGAGCGGCGCGGCAGCGTGGCAGCCCGCACGCGAGTACCTAGCCGCGGCAGCGGCAGCAGCCGTACCGCGAGCACAGATCGGTCGTGTCAACATTGCTCTGTCAAGACTCGAGCCACTCACCACACCAACATGCGGGCGACCACCAATACCCCCCCCCGAAGAAGAATCTTACAACAAAACTCCCTCGCACAACACTGGGCACGGGACTGGCGCGCACTGGCACGAACACAGGTACACCACGGGAGCCGCCTAAGCGACTCCTGCGAGGGTGGCGAGGCACTTAGCTCCGTGCACCCGCCCACCCCCGCCACAGGCAAGCTCATTCACGACCTGCTCTGCGATGGCCGTGTGAAGAACGACTGAGATGCGCTGCTTCTGCAGCCCCAGCCAGCTCTTGGTGGTCCAAGTCACCTCATCGAGGTACTGGGCCCGCGTCAGCTTGTTCTGTAGCACGTCCGCCGCTCTCCGGAGGATCTCACGGACCCCCTTTCCGAACCCGCCGAACGATTCGAACAGCAGCAGCTGCACTTCGACGCCCTTGTCTTCCCTGGCGTAGCGATAGTCCCCGCCGTAGGACGGTATGCGGCGGTCGCCGCCCACCACCCTGCCCCCCCTGGTATGCCAGCGCCCAGTCCCTTGCCCTCTCTCGCCCTTGCTCTTCCTCTCCCCCTCCATGCCGCCCCCCATTCCGCCACCCCCCCTCCCCCCCCACTCTCTCCGAGCAAGGGCGTGCGCTACGTCCCCAAGGGGGGGGGGACGTGGGGGGGAGGTGTGGCGCTTAGGTTGTGGCGTTTGGGTTGTTGTGGGGCACCCAAACGGTTTCGGTTTTCCTCCTTGGTGCCCCGAGTAGAGCGCGATCTCCCCTGGAGTCTGTCGCGCCCGTTCTGTCTAAGCTCGAGGTTCAACCTTCCAGTTGATCCTTATCGGACTGGTGAGGTCTGCCTAGCCGTCGTAGTGTAGTGCCTGGGGTGCGTCTGCGTCGGTGCTACACACACTCGGCAGGACGCTGCTCTAGGTCGTTGCTGCTGGTCGTCGCTGTTTGTCAAGGTGATAGGTCGTTGCTGCTGGTCGTCGCTGTTTGTTAAAGGTGATGTTTCTCTTTTTTTTCAACAAGAATTCTTTGTGTGGCCTTTGCGCTTTTGCACTAAGCGCAAAGTGCAAAGTCCAAAGACCAAAGTGCAAGTCGCCCTCGTGTTTTTCTTTTTATGTTTTGGCAGTAAAAAGAATACTTCGACTCACATCTTCGCTGCGGTGTGCCTGGGGAGGCGCGGCGGCGGGGTGGATTGAGAGGGCTCAGAGTGCAGAGAGACTGCAGGCGTGCAGAGGCGCGCGCTGCAGTTTCTCTGATCGGGCTGCTGGCGGTGTGAGCGCGGGGTGGCGTGGTGAGGCGTGAGGCAGGCTATTGTTGTGGAGTGCGGGCTGCATCGTCAGGCGTATGCGTGCACATGGTGCTGTATGCTGTGTGTGCAGGCTGGCAGTCTGTGCAGCAGAAAGCGGAAGCGCGCGCGCGCGCGCGCGCGCGTGCGGGCGTGCGTGCGCGCCTGCGCGGTGCCGGATCTGCGTCTCACTCGCGGCGCGTCCTGGTACAGCCGCTTATGAGATGCCAGAAGCAGTCTGCAGAGCCTGCACAGGGCGCAAAAAGGCGCAGGTGTGCTGGTGAGGTGTGCTGCGGCGCGCGCGTCGCGGCGTGAGTGGATATGCGGCTGCCTCTGGTGGTGCGAGGGGCGCGCAGCTGGTGCGGGCGGCGCGGAACGGCCATGGGGCGCCAGCACAGGGCAGACGCACATGGGCACAGCTCTGAAAGGCGCTGCGCGTGTTTGCGTGCGCGCGGGGACGTACGCGCAGTTTTCACGCGGTGTGCCTGGAGAAGGGCATGGGAGGCGCCGGCCGCGCGTGTATTGGCGTGTGGGAGTTCGGAGTATGCCCGGAGGGCGTGATGGTGCCCGAAGGGCGGTCCTCCATGCGGAGGTGAACCTTTTCAAAAAGAAAAGGTCAGCAGCGTCGCCATACTCGTCGTGGGTCTTCCCATTCCGAGTCTTCTTGCCCGCCGCCGCGGCCTGGCAGGCCACGTCGAGGGGGAGACCCAGGCGGCGCTGCACCGAAAGACGCATCGCCCAAGTCTCCATTCGCATGTCATCCCGCATTGGGATGGCGTTGAGGAAGGCGCCGGCGCCATCCTGGCTCACCGCCACGAAGCGGACTGCCTCCCGCCAAGCCGCATGCCTCGCCCGCTCCCTGCCCTTGGCCTGCGCCTTGCCCTTCTTGCCGCGAGGAGCGGACCGCGATCCCTTGGAGCCCTCCTGCCTTAGCTCGAGGGCGAGGTCGCGCCAGTTCCTGTTGTGGACCACCGTCGTGAAGCGCCGCTGCGCCTGGTGTAGGAACTCGTGCTCGAAGAAAACAACCTAATTCGCGATTTGACGTGGACACCCCACCCCACCCACCCCACCCCACCACCCCACTAAACACAAGGCTGGTGGAGTGTTTTTATGGAGGAAGAGGCTAAGGCCGCGGACATCAAGCTTCAAGGCGAATCGGGCTAATAGGGGAGGCTATCTATCTGGCATGAGAGAGAGATTTTTGAAAACCAACAAGAAATCACGACCTCACAGTGATTTGGGCTCGGCAGCTTGTCCGCCCTCAGCCGAAGCTGGGGCCGGTCCAGTAGCCGAGAGAGCCCGCGTCGATGAGTTTGACGCGGTCGGGAGGCCTTGCGAAGAGGCCAGCGAGATGGCGATCGCTGTACTTCATGGCGCCCTCAAAGTGGGGCTGGCTGACTCGCCAGAGGTCGATACTCTGGACAACCCATAGGATGCCACGACTGCCTGAAGGAGAGAGAGGGAGGCTTCTTTTTTGGAATTCTTTTTGGGACCATTATGATTTCGCTAGTACAGGCCGTTTGTCGTACACTGTTTGATGTTGTTATTCGTTTCTCGACTGTTCTTCAGATTCACGCGGCATACCGCATACCGGGTGCTAAGCCGAGACATGTAGCATGCAGGTTGCAGTCTGTAAAGGGTGTGGACCACCCATTCCCATCACCATCTCACATACCTTCATATAGGCGCTCGAGACCTCCTCTCGCTGCCTACTCGCTGCCTCGAGGGAGGAGGGGAAGACGTAGGGTTGAGCTGGACTCGCCTTTCCTGAGGCCCCTCCCCGAAAGGCAAGTCTTAGCCACATGAAATCCGAGACCCCTCCCCACCGGCGCGAGCGCGTCGGCCGCGTGCGGCGGTCTCGCGCGCCTGGTGTGCCGGTCGTGGGCGGCCGATGGGGCCCGCGCGTTCCCTTCCCCCCTCGGAGGGCCGGACTGAGGCGTCGAGGGCCCCACTCTTTCCTTCACATAGCGGCCACTCTTCGGATCGCTGGTCGAGCGACCCGGGGGATGCCCCGCGCGCCTGACCCAGGCGCGAAAACGAATCTGCGAGGCGTGGCCGCTCATGCGGCCCGATGGGGAGGAGGGGAAGACGTAGGGCGTGCTTGCGCGCCTTTCCGAGGCCCCTCCAACCCACCCGCGCTAGGTCTCGGGTTTGACGCATGGGGTCACTCCCGCGAAACTCGGGAACTAGCCGGGGCAGTCGGAGAAGGGGCAACTCCGTGCACTGACGGTCGGCCGTCAGAAAACACGCCTCCGTGGCTCGGGTTACACCAATCCTCGCTACCCAACGCGGCCAAAGGATATCCACCGAGAGAGAGAGAATTCTTGATACGAAACCACGACGACACACACCAGTCGACTCGCATCGGTTGCCTCCATGAACGGCGGAGCTATTCTCGCGCCCACACCACACCTGGCTCCAACGTGGACACGCCCATAGCTGGGGACACTACTAGGTCACGCATGGCATCACAGAAGTTTTATCTCTGGGCCCCGAAAGGCATCTCTAGCAGTGTCGTTACACATGCCCCCTCCCCTCCTGGGCGCATGCGCCTCACGTCTCGCCAGAGCATAAGCCCTTGGCGTGTGGCGAGACGAGTTTTTCGCCATCGCAGCGAGCAGCAAGCCGCCCGCCGCAAACAGCCGGAGGCCTCGCCGCGGCACTGGCTGCGCCGCGGTCCCGCACCCGTCGACGCAGCTCCCCCCGCGGAAGACCGCGCGTAGCAACGTCTTGACGATCGAGATGAGCGTGCCTGAAGCTCGCCCGGATATCCACCTCGAGAATTTTACAACCTCGAGAACCTCGAGAGAGGTGTGGATGCTGGGTTGAACAAAATCGGGGGACGCGACCCACTTCGCCACAGACGGTCCCGCGCCTCGCCGCTATGACGGCGGCACGACCGCAGCTCGTGTGCGTGCCGCCGCTTTGTCCGGAGTGAATACTCCAACGCGCTCGTCGGTGACGGCGTCCCCGGATTTCGCCGCGCTCGGCGAACCTCGACAGCGCTTTCGGTGGCATGCAGCTCTTTGCGACAGAAGCCTGAAAGGCAGCTCCTCTGCTGCTCACACACTCTGCACAGTTGACACAGCCTACTGTGCGGCTGCCACAGCTGTGACAGCGATGGGCTCGCCCTCACTGGCCCTCAGTCACTTGTGCTGCGGCTTGTGTGAGCGACACTGCTCGGCGACTGCCGGCACACTGTGAGACCATGGGTGTGAGGTAAAACCACGCTACCAGCGCTTGGTCACATCGTCCCCGAGGTCAGATCCATCTACTCTGTTGATGACAAGACTTGTCTACTGGCTGGAGCCGAGCAGGAGGGCCCAGCGCACAACCCCTGGTCAACTCAGGGTCCACACCCCGTAGCCCTGGTGTTCTGGCACTCGGCGTTCTCCATAGGACATACAGTAGGAGTTCGCGGGTGTTTTTCTTTTTTGATTATCTTTTTGGGACCATTATGATTTCGCTAGTACAGGCCGTTTGTCGTACAGGCCGTCTATCTCTCCAGGCCTTTTGTCTCCTGTCACAAGACTCTCGGCCGACATGCTCTCTCTAGGCCGTTTGTCTCTTATTACGAGGCATTCGGCTGACATGATCTCATCTTCTCTCTAGGGCTCCATCGGGGCGCCCGAGGAGGAGGCGCCCGACGTGCAGCTTATCGGTGCATGGTCGCTCCAGCGCGGGGCGCGGGCGGAAACATCAGCACCTGGTAGCGGTTGAGTGCGCGAGTGATGTCTTCTCGCCGCTGCTCCCCGCTGAGGTGGCAGAGGAAGAAGCCGCAGAGGGGCGGGTGCGGCCACGGCCCCTCGCTCCACTCTCGGAAGCGGTCGTAGTGCTTGGTGTACGCAGCTGAGCCGTCGGGGGCGCGCGCGGCGAGCTTGCGCACGACATACGCATACGACTGCACCGCCTGCGACCAACGGTTGACGGGTGGGAGAGAAGCGCGGGGCAGCGTTGGCTGCAGGCATTGTGTTTCGGCGCCTGGGTCAGCTCGGTCGTCTTCTCCCACTTCGGGTAGGAGACTCGGATCAAGTCCCCAGGCTCGAGCTCGACCTGAGGAAATGAAACAGTTATTGATGAACGGAACGGATGGGCGTGTGAGGCGTGGCCGTGTGCGCGGTTGGCGAGTTGAGGGATGAGGTACACACCGGGCAAGGCCCAAGCCGTCTATACGGTACTCTCCCACGGAAGGTGCAGTGAGGGTGAGCAGGCCTCTTTCCCTTGGTAGGTGAACTTGTCGCCAGGCTGCGGGACGTAGATGAAGCTCGCGCCGAGCGGGATGGCGATCCACCTTCCGGAGGGGGAGGTTGAAAACCGCATGACGCCGCCGTCGCGCGTCGAGAAGAGCGTCAGGCAGGTCCCGGCGCAGCTGGCGTCGGTGGTGCGGTTGCCGTTGCCCTTGAACCCGAGCAACCCATCCCATTCGACGTTGGGGTTGCGTCTCCACTCGACATCGTCGAGGGTAATCAGAGTCTCTGGAGCGATGTTGAACTCCATCCAAAGCAGCCCCCGCAGCTCCTCTGGGCACAGGTTGTGCTCCTCCGCCACTCCAAGCATCACCGGCACAAAGGCTTCGGGAGAGGCGACGTCGACGGTGTGCATCCCCGGGCAGCACAGGCAGCAGCCGATCGGCGCGCAGCAGCTCAGCGAGCGCGGGTACATGACGGAGAGGCAAAAGAGCGGGTTCCACGGAGAGTCGAGCCAGCCGAGCTGAGGCATGCTCAGCTCGAGAGGAGGCTTGGCTTCGACATCCCACCTCTCGAGCCGCCCGTCGAACTCGCGGCTCCACTTGCTGGGCTCGCGCGCCCAGTGCTCCGCTATGATGGCGTCGTAGGAGCCGAGCCCGCACGGCCCGCAGCAATACGTGTGCGCCTTTGGCACACTACCAGGACAGCACACAAGCGGGCCTCCCACCAGCTCGCGGTCAACGTGTATTTGCGACTGGGTGGCTTCCATGACGCGCCTCGATTTGCACAACATACACGGGTTCGGACTCTTTTGCGGGGTATGGTATGGTCGAATGGGCCCACTGGGAAGTCGTGTGAGGGGCCGCCCCCTAGTGGGTCCCCCGACTGACCCGTAAACCAACTATGTTCGGAGCCTGGATAGGGTGTAGGCCGTTCGGAAGGTGGGTCGGGAGGGGATACCCCGCTAGGAATAGTCTCCCCCGACCCCGCCCGCCCGCCCGCCCGCCTGCCCTGCCCGCCTGGCCGATAAGTTTTTTCACCTTCTCATTGGTGGAGTATAGGTACGAGGGTGGTGTGGCATCTCTTGCGGGTCTCGCCAGGGGCGCCTACCAACCTCGCTTGCGAGGGGCGTGTGGCATGTCTGAACGGACTCGTGAGGGGCGCCTGCCAACCTCATTCGTCGAAGCGGCGCTTCGCTTCACAACGACCCCGCCGCAATCGTCGCCGGCGCGCGACAGGCTCCCGTCGGCCGGACTGCCCTCGACGAGTGGGTGTCGCCAACCAAAGCGACACGCACTTGAGGGTAGTGCCGACGGGACGCGGCTCGAGGGCGACTCTCGCGAAGGCACGGCTGGCAACCGTGGCGCGGGGCTCGCGCTCGACAAGTCAAGACCGGGATCGCTCTACCGGCAAACCTCTCGCTGACATGCGCGCCCCGTCGAGCTGACGGCGGGCGCGCTGCGGTCGCACGCCTCCCAAGTCATATGCCACGGCGTGCGATCTAGAATCAGCACACGCGCCTCTGCTTGCATACACTCATACATTGGATTGTCATTGCCTGTGAGTGTGACATAAGGCTAGCGGTTGGCGGCTAGCCTCTGAGGAGAGTGACCAGAGACACCTCACAAGACCCCACACACGGTCTAGTCCGGCCTCGCGGTCGGCGGAGATTGCTAGAGGCCGAGCAAGCCTGCTCTAGCCTCACGCGTTCGCCCCTGTTGTCTGTTGTTTGTTGTGCCCTTGTTTGTTTCTCTTGGCACCTGGGAGTGCTGGGGGGGGCGACAGGGAGGATGTGGCCCTGAGTTATGTGTACGCCAACTCAGGGTGTGTGGCAGCCAGCTGGCTGTGTGTCTTGTGAGCCTGTTTGTGTCTTTGTGTCGCTCGTGCGTGTCGTCATCATCGCGTCTCCTGCCCTGGTGCTGTGCTGTGCGCCGTACCCCGTACCGGCGAATCGTACCACATATTAGCTGTATCTCCGCCTCTGCGCCACCGACCGACTTTTGCTAAAACGCCTCTCTCTGTACGTGACGCTGACGGATGGCACCCGCACGCTCCAAAACCAAATGCGTATCCGACCACAAAACGTCGACCCGTCATGTGCACGTGCCCGACACGCCCCGATTTGTTAGGCACGCCAATCAGGTAAGGTACGGTAAGGTAAGGACTCTTTAAGGTAAACTTCTCCCACTCCACTCGCACTCCGCACACACACGAGGTGGTGGGGCAAGGGGGGGCGACCCTCGCGTCTCCACGTCTAACGACAGGAGCCCCACGGCGTTCAAAGTGCAAGGCCCAGTGCGCGTGCTGTAACTCCAATGCGTCTCTACTCTGCCCGGGCGCAACCCCAACTGGGCCCAATTCAGGACCATCCACGCGGCAAGGCGATGGTTTGAACACTCCGATTTGGGCACGGCTCGAGTATGCGCCCCATCTCGTGCTGCGCCTGGGACGTGAAAGGCAGCGTGCCTTTTGGCCGGGGCGCCTTCCAATCTACTAGCGCCAGGAGCCGCGTGTACGCCGGAGCAAAGCTCGGGGCCTCCCCAGCCGCGAAGTCCTCGCGTTTGCGGGACGCCAGGGCTGCGGCTTCGAGCGTGGTGGAGAAGTGATCAAATGCGCCCACGTTCAGGCAACGTTGGCGGGACTGGCCGCCCATAGACTGGCCGCGCACCACCGCGGTGTGCGCCGTCACGAAGCGCGGCACTTGGCCGTTAATACGCGAACGCAGCAGAGTGAGCTTGGCGGCAACCCCTCCAATGCGGCGCCGGAGAGTCGAGCAGACTGGGAATTGCTCGAAAAGGCTGGTGGCATGCGTCACCTTGCGCATGCCGATGAGCCCCTGGGCCAGGCGGTCGCTCATGCGACCGCATGCCGCGCTCAAGCGCGTCTGCTTGAGCATCTGCGCCACGTTACAGGGCCAGGTGAAGAACTCGTCAACATCAGCCCAGATGAGCCAAGCATCCTCTGGCAACAAGCCAAGAAACGTGTTCACCCCATTACGGAGTCGCGCCGCGAGCCCAGAGCTGTTCATCCCTCGCTCCAGAACAGTCACATTGCGAACCTGGTGAGCTGCGAGGGCCTCTAGCGCCAGCTCAAGCTCACGGTCGCTCTGGGATGGCTCAAGGTGCACAGAAGCATGTGTCGCCAAACGCACGCCCTGCTCCATGTAGTGGCCCAGCCAGTGGCGTAGAAGCGCGTGACTCTGCGCACTTGCCTGCGTCCAGAGGTATGTGTGGTCGGCAAGCCCACCAAGGCCGCAGGCGCCGACCATGCGCCCCGCGGTCGGGCTTGACGCGTGGTTACCCGCGTAAAGGTGCTAAGAGCCAAGAGCCGCCGCCCGGCGGACTTATTCAAAAACGCCGTGCCGCCGTACCGCCGCTCCTACCTGGCGGCTCAGCGGTACAGTGCCGCGCTGTGGTGGGCCGCGTTGTTGCCGCCGAAAGAAAGAAGAATTTTAGAAGGAAGAATTTTGCCGACATTCCTTCACAAAATTGGGCAAGGGACTGGCGCGCACTGGCACTAACACAGGTACACCACTGGAGCCGCCTTAGCGACTCACGGCGAGGCACTTAGCTCCGTGCACTCGACCGCCCTCGCCGCTGGCAAGCTCATTCAGCCGCTCGCGGTTCGTACGCCCGCTTGCGGGTTCGAGTGGCGGGCTATCCCGCTTGCGGGATGGCTTAGCGGGTTCGAGCCGTCACACATTGGCTGCCGGGGTGTGCCGAGGGGGGGCTGGGTGGGCGGTAAGCCGTCATTGCCCGGCGCTGCTTGCACACCCCCACCGCCTCCTACGCGGACCGACTCGACGGTGACTCTGCTGCACGCCGTTTCAGAAATTTTCTCAGCGTGAGCGAGACGTGGAAGAGTGCCACCGTCGGGTAGGACGGGTCGGCCCGGAGTATCAGAGTGTAGCCGTCGTGGTCGCGGCGAGCAGCGCCGGCCACTCCGGCGCCGCGTCGGCAACGTGGGAGCATGTCCCACCGCCACTTCGCGGTCGCAGCGCTGTTGTCGCCCAAAACGCCGCTACGTACCTCGGCAGGGGCGGCGACCCCCCCATCTACAGATGATATGCGCATCTTGAGATAATATGCATCTAAGATGCAACCTACTTGGACTGCACACTGTCTTGCCTATGATCGAGCATCTCTAGATGGTTTTTTCAACTAAAATGCCGGAGCATCCCTCGGAGAGTATTCTCGTATTACTAGCTCCGAGTAGAGGGTGCGTTCTGCTGCTAGGGGAGGAAACCCGGAGCGCGGAGCTATCCCTCGGAGACCCGTGTTATGGCCCTGCGACCGCGCACCCCCCAGGGCTAGGGCTCTCTAGCCCGTAACCCGATACCGATCATCCGGCCCGCTGGGTGCGCTTCTCAGCGCTCCCCGGCCCTGGATGTGAGGTTAATGACCGCACTCCAAGTGCTCCAAGCATCCTGGGATGCTCGAATCATCTGAAGCTGCTTCGCATCCCAAGATGCTTGGCATTTCGAATGATTAAAATGCAAGTTAAATGAGACAGACCTGAGCGATATGTGTGAGCCCTTGGATCAAAGTTGGAATGGAGACTGTGAATCTATGCTAGTTTCAGTTGCCATGCTAAGTCGTAAGTGAGATGTGACTAACTGCTCTGTCGTCTGTGGAATACTACGGATGGTTATGGAACTGGGTCTGGGAGCCAGTGAGTGATGGTGGGGGGCACTTAGCCCTTGTGCTAATGCTGACTGTACTACATGGACGGTTGCGGTTGCCTATGTGTACGACTGGCTTTTATTTTGGGTTTCTGGGTTCGGCAAAAGAACTCCGACACTGTCGATCGAAAATATTGGAAAAATCCGACAAGAGGGTATCATCTCGGCACACTTGGCTTCTAAAAATCTCTCTCACACTTGTGCGTCTGAAGACGAAACTGCAGTATTTGAGATGTCACGCGCTATCAAAAGACGCGGGGCACCGTCTAAAGATGATTAAAATCTTCTTGGAGAACCAAATCATAGTGGAGACACCCGGTGTCCTTAGGCGATGGAAAACGCATCCTAGATGGCGTTTGGCATCGGCTAGTTCCATTTCACTCTGACACGCTAATCTTGAAAACGTCCAACGGAGCTCCGTGTTGCTCCCAGCGCCCTCCCCCGCGCTTCCTGCGGCCCTAGCCGATGGTACTAGCATGGGAGGTCATCTGGCTACCGCGAGAGCGACCCAACTCGTCGACATCGTCCGATGATGGTGCCTCAAAGTCAGCCTTCGGAGGCTATCGTGGGGTCGAGCCGGCAGTAGCCGTGACATGTGGTTCCACCACCCCTCGTAGTCTTTGCCTCTGACCGCCACCGTTCCCAGGCTGCCTAATGGGATGGAAAGGAAGGCTCGGCGAGCGTATAGAAGCGTGCTCGACCTCCTCGTGGCAACCTGCACGGCATCGCTGGCAGGCGCGATGAGCGTCGTGCCACCTGACCCGAGACGGGTCGCAGGCGTCGTACCGAGCGCGTCGAGACCGTGTCCTGATGTGATCTGCACGGGTGAGTCACGTCGGCGTCAAAGGAGCGACGTGCGACCTGTCAGAGCTTGATCTCCGATCTCAGCGGCGGCGAGTCGTCTCCGGCGCGCGACAAAGGTACATCCACAGGACGCGCAGAGGCAGCTGCGAACCCCTGTATAGTGGTAATGTAAAGGTTACATAGTTCATTTTTGTGTGAGGTCAGCCACTCGTGTGTGTGTAGATTATTTCACTTCTCGGCCTCAGATTTTTTCTGTCATCGTATTCTTGATTGGGGCGACATGAGCGATGGTACGGATCAAAGAGTT